GTCATCGTGTTGTTCTGTAAACAGGAATATCATCGTGTTGTTCCGTAAACAGGAATGTCATTGTGTTGTTCCATAAACAGGAATGTCATTGTGTTGTTCTGTAAAAAGGAATGTCATTGTGTTGTTCCATAAACAGGAATGTCATTGTGTTGTTCCATAAACAGGAATGTCATTGTGTTGTTCTGTAACCAGGAATATCACGGTGTTGTTCTGTAACCAAGAATATCATTGTGTTGTTTTATAAACAGGAATGTCTGTGCCACTTCATAAACAAATAATACTCCAATTATACTACACCTGCTTATTTTCTTGATTGACTAGAATTTCTTCCCCATTGTCTTTTAGGTCATGAGTTAGCAAAGTGCCAAATACATCCTGGTAAGTGATTCGAAATGACTGCATGAAGACATCCTCAATATCACTACTTTGATAATCTAATAAGTACTGTAAGCCTCTGGCTAAGCCCTGAAAAGGTTAAAATTACTTGTCAAAGTTCTGAAGAAAAGGGCAATCCTTTGTATTGGCATTAAAATTTTAAAATAACACAATCTGAATGAAGAAATTCAAATTTCCAGAGTCGTTACTAAAACACACAACTGTACAATTATATTCAAAAATTAAAAAGTTTAAACATTTCCAACCTGGAGAGGTTTTCATAATTCTTTTTTCTTATTTTGTCATTGAAATATCTTGCAGCCTCAATGTTACATTCACAGCCAATCACTTCAGTTTTAGAATTCATATTAGAACTATCAGAATAGTCAATGACAGAAAGTTTGTAAAACTTACTGGATTCCAGCCGTACAAATCACGAAAGGAGCCTCTTCTCCCCAGCAGTTTTCTGTACAAAACCATTGGAAAATGCACATCAAGTATGACATTATTGTATATTGCTAGTCCTAGGATGATTCCAATCAATGTAAACTGTGCATCACTCTCAAAAGATGTGGGGTTAAACCAATACGTCTCAGTCTCCTGATTGAGAGTAAACATTGCTAAAAAGACAAAAATTATCTCACTGACTGCACTGCTATTCTACTCGTAAACCTTTCAAATCTTTAGAAATAAATTTCAAACAGGTAATTACATCTGAAATACTGTAAGCATTTCCTTGTTGAGTTTACACCCACGCTCTAAACAAAACATGAGATTCAAAATATTGTTAATGCCCTTTTATGCATTGCAGAGCATGCATTACTTACCCATAATTCTCCACTCTCCCACCTTCCATGTGATTAATCATACAAGCATAAGGAAATCTTATGTAGCTCTGCTTTCTCGTCATAATATATATATTATTTTATTGTAAGTTGCAGTTGTGACAAAAACTTGGTTGTGAAGAGGCAGGGAGAAGGTATTTTGGAGGTAAGTACCTGTTTGAAATTCATTTTAATTTTAATGAATATAAAATTCAAATCAGGTAAAATTAGCTCTGAAATATTGTAAGCCAGAATATTCACAACAAGGTGGGTATCAGTGAGGACAGAAATTATATTTAAAAATATAAAATTAGAAGTAACAGTGATAAAGTTGGATTGTATCAATGAAGTAAACAATGGGAACAATGATGTTGACAAAAACAGGTAGGAGGAATACTATGTCTTGTTTCTGTAGAAGAAGGTTCTTAAGTCAAATATTATGAGTGGACATATTCCAGTGATTGGAGTCCTTCTTCATCTATAGTCACAAAACTGGCCAAATTAGTGGGTGTTCAGGGAGAACTGAATATAGATCAAATCTATCCTGAGGAGCCAAATTAGTGGGTGTTCAGGGAGAACTGGATATAGATCAAATCTATCCCGAGGAGCCAAGTTAGTGGGTGCTCAGGGAGAACTGGATATAGACCAAAACTGTCCCAAGGATGGGGCTCAATAAACAAGGCTGACAATGCAGCCCTGCATGCTACAGGCAGATTGTGTGAGTAAGATCTCTAAAAACTTGCAGAAGTTCTGAAGTTGTTGTAAATATTGGTGTCAGGATTAATATTGTCTTCTAAATTCATTACACAGCATACCTGTTAATAAGAAAATATGAATGATGCTGGGAAAACAGTTTATGTAAAATAAGAATGGAAAACGCAGCTTATGGACAATACTCTAATGCATGTGAAATAAGTATTTCATAAGAATTACGGGTAAGAAACACATGCTCTGTAAAAGGTATCCAGGATTACGTTTTGTTTACAGCACAAGTGGAAATCCAACAAAGAAAAGCTTTCAGTATTTCAGGTAACACTACCTGAAATAAGCACATCAATATTTATCAAGCACATTTAATATTCATCAACAACAAACTGTAAATCTTATAACTGTTTTTGTTTGTATTTAGATAACAAGGATGGAAAAATATAGTTTGTGTGTTCTAACTTCCAGCTTCTTTAGATAACAAGAATGGAAAATATATTTTGTGTGTACTAACTTCCAGCCTCTCTAGATAACAAGGATGGAAAATATATTTTGTGTGTACTAACTTCCAGTTTCTTTAGATAACAAGGATGGAAATATATTTTGTGTGTACTAACTTCCAGCTTCTTTAGATAACAAGGATGGAAAATATATTTTGTGTGTACTAACTTCCAGCCTCTCTAGATAACAAGGATGGAAAATACATTTCGTGTGTACTAACTTCCAGCTTCTTTAGATAACAAGGATGGAAAATATATTTTGCTGTGTATTAACTTCCAGCTTCTTTAGATAACAAGGATGGAATAATATATTTTGTGTGTACTAACTTCCAGCCTCTTTAGATAACAAGGATGGAAAATATATTTGGTGTAAAAATTTTCCCATTAATCGAAAACCTCATGGTGGTAGATTGTTTTTAATTATCCTTCTTTCTGAATACAATACAATAATTAGTGTTTCTTGGTTTGGTTTGAATTTTATGCAAAGCTACATTAGGGCTATTCTGTGCTAGCCATTCCTAATTTAGCAGTGAAAGACTAGAGGGAAGACAGCTTGTCATCACCACCCACCACCAACTCTTGGGCTACTCTTTTACCAACGAATAGTGGGATTGACTATTACATTATAACATTCCCTATGGTTGAAAGGGCAAATATGTTTGGTGGGATGGGGATTCAAATCTGCCCTAACCACCTGACCCAAAGTGTTTCTTGACTGACTATGTATAACTTTTAAGTTTTGACCTCCTAAACTAACTTTTTGCTTGATACATCTGCTAGATGACCTATAATAAATATAAACACTGTTAACAACCAAATATTGTGGACTGAAAATATTTATATATTTCTGTTTGTGTTAAATATTTTGTTGATAATATATATTTATTATCCTACAATAATCTTCACAAATGTAATATTTGGTATCAAAATGAATTTCACTTTTTAAGATCAAAATGTTTTTCTAAATAATCCAATAAACTATCAACTGAATTATCAAAAATTTTGGATAAGTTAATCATGTATTTTTTTTACCATTCTAATTACAAAATAGCCATCAACAATACAAATATTAAGCCTCACAATCAATTCATAAAATAACCAACAGCATCATAAAATTTGGTATTTTAAACAAAAAGTTACTTTATTAAAATTTTTTGTTTAAAAATATCCTGCTCATTGAATCAGAAGAGTAAATATTTATATATAGACACATCTGTATAAACCTACCAAAACTAACAAACACTACAACAAAAAGTGTACCTAATAAAATTATAGATAATCGGTTTTGTTTTGATAAAAGCATGATGTTATCCAACCTACCAAAACTAACAAACACTACAACAAAAAGTGTACCTAATAAAATTATAGATAATCGGTTTTGTTTTGATAAAAGCATGATGTTATCCAACCTACCAAAATCAGGATTAAAAATTTCTTCAACCACCAGTTGAAAGAACTCCTTCGACACCCCTCCTTCATCTACACCTTGCTCTCCATCAAATTCTACCACTAACTGCTTCTTCAAATTTGTTGGGTTTTCCATGGCAACCATTTCGAGCTGAGTGACAATAGAAGCACCTTACTAAAAACTAACACAATACTTAAACAATAGCAAATAAAGCACAGATGAAAGTGTGAGGATATAAATATGTTAAACCAGGAATTAGCAAATAGAAACTTTCTGGTAAGATTCTTTATTTTTAAAAATGATGCCGTCAGTTTTTTATACATTTTCATTATAAATACAACAAACTATACACTTTATGCCAAGCGTCTAATCTTTCCCTAATGTAATGTAAAGAAGCTTATTTCATTCTTCTAGAAATTAAACCTAAGATATTCAAGTCAAAGTGTTATTGAAACCTCAAGTTTTAACTAGAAAACCACTGTGAAAACTACTGATGGAGCTTAGTTTTAGGTCAAACTACATTATAATTACTCACACTCAAAATAACAGATATAAGTATAAACACAAGCTAAAACTAATGATAGAGCTTAATGACAACACTTTGCACACATGCACAAAGCACCTGTGCATTGATCATGAATATTTTTCTGTGCTATAAATATAGATCCAGATTAGAAGTTGATTACACATAGTTCACCATAAAAAGAAATGCCTAATTAAAATTTTAAATTGATATTTATCAAGTTTCATTTGCAACCCGTATAACTACTTTTTCATAAAAATTACAATAATGTTTTTTAACTGATTCAGAACAAAATTCTATCAAGTTGAATTTATACAATTAAATTCAGATATGAATAAAAAAGCAAAACTGAGTAGCAAGATTTAAACTGTATCAGTATCACTGATGTAAAACAAGATTACTGAAACTAAATTACTAAACTTAATATCATATGTATATTTTGAAAATTAACAAAAAACATTAACACAAAAGAAAAATATCCAAAATGTTATTAAACACCTTCACTCTGGATATTGATAAGTAAAAGTGAGAATGTTATTATACACCTTAACCCTCTGGATATTGATAAGTAAAAGTGAGAATGTTATTATACACCTTAACCCTATGGATA